CCAGCCTGGCCTTGGGCACTGCCAGGGATCCAGGGCAGCCCCAGCTGCTCTGGGCACCTGTGCCAGGGCTGCCCACCCTGCAGGGAGGCTTCTCCTGCCCCTCTACCTAAGCTGTGCTCCGCCTGCGGGCAGCCGCTCCCCGCGGCAGTGTGTGCCCGTTCCCCGCGGCTCCAGCCCCCGCTCCCCGCCGGGCTCAGCCCCAGCCCGGCTGCCCCGCGCCCGCAGCCCGGACTCACAGCTGTGCGAGCACTGCGGGATGATCACGGCGATGCTGAAGTAGTCGAAGCAAATCCCGCAGCGCAGCAAGTCATCCACGGCCTGCAACGAGAGCGGGTGAGCGCGGCCGGGCTGCCCCGGGCCCGGGCTGTCCCGGGCTGTCCCGGCCCGTCCCGGGCTGTCCCGGGCGCATACGGGAACAAACGGGAACGGGGAATGGGAGCGGGGGTGGAACCGACGGGAACAGGAACCACGGGAAACGGGAACCGGGAACCAACGGGAACTGGGATGGGAACGGGAACTACTGGAATGGGAACCAACGGGAACCACGGGAACGGGAACCGGGATACGGGAAACAGCGGGAACCACGGGGAACGGGGATGGGGAATGGGAGCGGGGATGGAACCAACGGGAACGGGAACTACGGGAACGAACGGAAACCAGCGGGAACTACTGGAATGGGAACCACGGGAACGGGAACCGGGATACGGGAACCAGCGGGAACCACGGGAACGGGGATGGGGAATGGGAAATGAGAGCGGGGATGGAACCAACGGGAACGGGAACCAACGGGAGCGGGGATGGGAGCGCCAGGAACGGGAACTACGGGAACGGAGATGGGGAACAGGGATGGGAGCGGGAATGGGAACTGCGGGACCGGGGATGGAGCCCGGGACCGGGAAGCGCCGGAGCGGGGACGGAGCTGCAGGGACCGGAGCGGCCGACAGCCGCCAGAGCCCTCGCCTCACACGCCTGGGTGTTGCTGCTGATTAAACTGGCTGCACTGCAGGTTTTTACACACACCTGAAGCACATTTAACCATTTCTATAATGCTCTACGGAGCAGCACGGGCTCCCTCTGCTCCCTGCGTTTCACAGGTGTGTTTTAGCCCTTCACTCCTTGCTGACTCAGACCTGCTCCGACCTGAAAACCCTGTGCACCCGTGCCTGGTTTCTCCTGTGAGCCAGTCTGGTTTTTGAGTCAAGCCCAGCTCCCTCACAGCCCTCCAAGCACACAAGGCACAGCAATGCTGACAGCCTCTCACTAGTCAGCATCTTCCCAGCCCACCCAAAACGCTCCCAATTTATCACCCCAGCAGAGCTTGTGCTGCCAGCTCCCTCAAACACAACCTTGCTGCTTTGGCAGAGCCCAGCCACAGCTCCACAAGTGTCTGGTCATTTCACACAGACATTACTTGAAAGCACAAATTAAATCCTTTTTTCTTTTTTTTGTTTTTTAGTCTACTGCAATGACTTTAGGCCAACGTAAATCAGCCAAAAGCATCTTACTGTTTTACAGAGCAGCGTGGAAGCTTCCATGAAAATGCTGTGAGTTAGCAGCCAAAGGAGCCAGAAATAATATTTAAACTTTCTCCTGGAGTGCTTTAAGATGGACAAGATGAATAAAATCACTCTGGGCATTTCATAGCAAACAGTGCTGAGTGAGTGGGCCTGGCCTGGGGGATGGATGAAATGACAGTGGCTGCTGCACAGGCAGCCTGGGGAGAGGAGGCAGCAGGTGAGCAGGCAGAGAGAGCCCAGACGTGGGACAGGGACACGGAGTCAGAATGAGCCTGTGGTGAAGTGGCCTTTGCTGGCTGGGGCCTTCTGCCAACAGCAACAAGAAACACTCGCTGACATTTCAGAGACATTGTTTAGCACATGCACATATCTCCCATTTGGACAATGATGCTGATCCAGTAAATGTTAGAAAAATCATGAGTAATCTCACAGCTCCAAACTGCTCCGGTATAAAAGCTCCCACACTGATAATCCATGCACTCTTAGACACAGTGATAGGTCTGTAATACTTCCCATTCTCTTTGATTGTCTCCCAACAGTGTATTCCATTGACAGCTGTGTGCCTCAGAGGACTCTTTGGCTGTTTGGTTCTTAGTCTGGGTGCAATTCCCTTCCCCACCATTTAAAATAAACCAAAGGGAAAAAAAAAAAAAAAGAAAAAAAAAACAGGAATAAAAGAAAAAAAAAAAGGCTGAATTAAATTAATTCAGCTGCTTGCAGAAACGTGAGGATGCTGAGCATTTTGAGAACGAGTACCAGCAAGAGCCCAGGAACAACATCCCAGCCCCAGGAAAGGCTAAGACCCTTCCTTCTCAGGGGGAGATGACTTGACTTTGCCCAGTTTCTCTCAGTGATTCCCTGTGCAGTTATTCTGTGTATAACTGCAGTGCTCTGAATCCCACCAGAGACCTGAGATGGAGGCCCCAGGCAGGGGCTGACAAATAGGAAACAACAATTTGCATTCCCATGCAGACAAAATGGGTAAATCAGGTGAAATCCAAAGGCAAGAGAGTCAACACATTGCCAGAAGTGTTTCTTAGTCGACATTCCAGCTCTCCTGCACAGATTTAGCCTTTTTCAGCTAGGAAAGGGACTTGGGAGCAGTTTGTGTATAAATTGTTGGCAGTCCCTTGTGCCACATGGCTGCTGATTTGCCACCAAAATGCCATTGTTGGGACTTCATTCCTCTGCCAAAAACTGTTAGGGCTGTTCTGCTGCTGTATTTACCACTTCAGTGCTGCCTTCCCCTGTTCCTAAACAGTTCTCAGCCTATGCAGGGGTAGCAGACCTCCCTGCACTCCGTGTCTCTGCCAGGTAAGACATTCCCCAGACATGCCCCTGCTCCTCTGAAGGTTCATTTGTCCTCCCTGTAAATTACTGGGAGGTGCAGAGAGGCCCGGGAGCTCCTCGTGGGGCTCTGGCCCCTCATCCCTTCCAGCTCTGATTTAGGAGCACAGCTTTCACCAGCGAGGCTGCTTGCTTTGCCATGGATTGTGCATTTGTGCCCCTTGTGCCCGGAGGTGCCCGGGGGCAGGGATGCCCCCCACCAGCCCTGTCCCTGGGCATCAGCACGCTCCAGCAGGCCCAGCACTGCCTCACCAGGAGCCTGAGGAGTGCAGAGCCACTGGGGATGCATTTCCCTGGAGGATGGGGCCTCTGCAGGGTCTGGCTGCTCCTCGTGCCACCGTGTGTCACCTCCAGCTCAGCTCGCGCTGCTGAACTCAGCAGAATTCACTGGTGCATTTCACTGGGGAGCTGCTGCTCATCAAATCAGCAGGGTAAAACACGCACAGCAAGAACTATGCAGAGGCAATTTCGGCTTCTGCTCAGCCTAGCCTGTTTATGCCTGGATTTATGTGCCAGAATGAGACTAAACAGAGGGAGGAGGAACCATTTGTCACCAGAGCACACGCAGAAAAGCAGCTCCAGCCTGTCCATGGCGCAGCAGCCTGCTCTGGTAGTGCACAGACCACTGCTGATGACTCTGGGTGAGATGTGTGTTGGGATTGATGCCAGTGGTGGAAAACAAAACCTCTCGAGTGTTGGCAGCTGAAACACCAGGTAATTACTTAATTGACTCCATGATCTCCACCTTGGAGCAGCAGCCTGCAGCACTCAGGCTAAAAGCAGAAGCCCATTAGTAATTCTGGCAGCAGTTAATGTCCCAGACCATGGAAAGCAGAAAGCCAGAGCAGGCTGGTGCAGTGTTTGGAAGCTGAGAGACACCTGCATCCATCCATCTGCCAGGAGCACTCACCCCTGCTGGGCCAGCAGCTCCTCCTGCTCTGACCAGAGACACAGACACAGAGTGTCCAGAACTGAGATCCAGGCAGGGAAACGACACCAAAACTCAAGACATATCAACAGAAATTCAGCACAGAAGAGAATTAGCCCCATTCCCTGCTGGGTGGCACTGGGCAGACTGGCACAGGAGTCCTGCTGGGACGTGGGGGGTGGGAGCCTTGGGACGGGCAGGGGCACCAGATCCACACCAGGTCTAAACTGGAATCGAGAGGTAAATTGGTGAGCAAAGTTGTAAAGGTGCTGCAGAGAACCACTGCCAGAATGGGGAGCTCTGTGGGAACACAGCCACATTTGGGGCCACTTTGGCTGTTGGGTCTGTAAAACATTTCCTTGCCTTCCCCCCAGACAGGCCAGCCCTCACCAACAGTCACCCCAGAGGGATGCAGTCTGTCACTTGCTGCCATCAGCCGTGCCCTGGGGAAGGCAGCAGCGCCCCAGTGCCAGCACCCCTGCTCTGGAGGGCACAGCGAGGCTGCCACACTGGGCACGCTGGGCACCCCACAGCCCAGCACTCGGCTGGTTCAGCTGCCAGCACTGTGCACCAGTCACCTCCCTGAGCACAGGTAACTGGCCCGTTAAGCTGACTTGGGCAGGAACAAATCCAGCCTGGCACGGGCTGGGCTGGGACACGCGTTTGGCCCTTGCTGTCAGGTGAGCAAAGTTGTAAAGGTGCTGCAGAGAACCACTGCCAGAATGGGGAGCTCTGTGGGAACACAGCCACATTTGGGGCCACTTTGGCTGTTGGGTCTGTAAAACATTTCCTTGCCTTCCCCCCAGACAGGCCAGCCCTCACCAACAGTCACCCCAGAGGGATGCAGTCTGTCACTTGCTGCCATCAGCCGTGCCCTGGGGAAGGCAGCAGCGCCCCAGTGCCAGCACCCCTGCTCTGGAGGGCACAGCGGTGCCACCGAGGCTGCCACACTGGGCACCCCACAGCCCAGCACTCGGCTGGTTCAGCTGCCAGCACTGTGCACCAGTCACCTCCCTGAGCACAGGTAACTGGCCCGTTAAGCTGACTTGGGCAGGAACAAATCCAGCCTGGCACGGGCTGGGCTGGGACACGCGTTTGGCCCTTGCTGTCAGCGCGTGGCAGCAGGGCCAGGAGCAGCTGGATCCAAAGGCACAGCAAGCAGCCAGAGGGAAGGGTGGCTGCACACAAGGCTTGTCCCCAAAAGCCCTGTGAACAATGTACAACTTCTTACAGGAAACAATCATTTATATCATTCCCATGGACTTCAGTTGCCAAAAGAGGGAGGAGGGAAGGCATTAGTCATGCACCAGCAGATGTTTTGACTTACGTAAGACTAATTTTTTTTCTTTTTTTCTTTTAAGAAAAAGGCTTCATCTCACCTAGAGCCTTCTTGAGAGCCTGCTCACTCTCAGCCATTGCCACAGCCTCACGAGCTCAGCACTGCCCTGCTCCATGGCACAGCTCTGCCAGCTTCAGCACTTGCCCAGTCATTGGTAAATATATAATTTTTATAAAGGCTGTCTTGAAGGGAGTAAAAAAAATGGATGCAGCAACAATTTAGAGAGAGAAATGCAACAGAAGTTCCATTAGTGCTCAGCAGCAGCAGGTGGGGGGTGGGAAATGCAGCCAAGGACAGTTATTTCTTGGAGACACATCCAGGAGGGAAACAAGCCCTCAGCTTTGGGCGGATAGGGAGGTTTGGGCTGGTGACCAGCCCTGCTGACAGCCCTTTCCTGGGCCAGTCACAGGGAGCTGCGGCCAGGCTGAGCCCACCCAGCCCCATCCTCAGTGCACGAGCTCCCAGGGACAGCAGCCAAGGACCTGCAGCAGCTCCCAGCCAAGCTCTCGCTCATCAAACCTCCGAGTGCCCCAGGCAGCTGTGTCCTAATTAAGAAATTTATCTTCGTTAGATAGGACCGGACGCGTTTGCATGCCCAGAGATGAGTCTCATGCTGATGGGGCTGGGGTGGAATTAGGAGCTGCCAGAGGGTGCCTGGCCTTTGGAAGCTGTCAGGAGGGTGTTATTGGATTAAAGGTCTGGGATAAGCTTTGCTCCGGAGCTGGAGCTCCATTTCCAACACACAAACCTCCTCTGGCTTTGCAGCATCAAGGACTCCAAGCCCAGGTCTCTGGAAGATTCCTGGGAGGGAAGAGGCATCTCTGTGGAACACAGCAAGGCTGGTTTACCTGCAGTGCTCATGCTGATCTGATGCACGAGATATTTACAATCCAGCAAATG